TAAAAGTTATAAAGAAAGAGAAGATTTAATAATATTGTAATATATGATTTAATCAAACAAGAATATACATAGAAAAACTCATTAAAAGAAGCTCTTAAGAAGTAGAAAAACACCACAGTACTGCGAGACAAGAAGAGAAGACTAACAAAAAAAATATAAGAAGACTTCTAAAAGCTGGGCCATCTATTGGTAAGGACAAACCTATCCAGAGAACTGGGTCTCTAATCAAAAATGATAGGTTAAACTAGAAGAAGAGAAAAAGGAAACGCGAATATAAACAAAAGAATTCTGGCAATAATCCTTTATTAAGAGAGAAGATTAAATTGTTTATTTACAGAAGATTAGTTTTAGAATATTATTTGAAAAAAAGGAGAATAGTTTAGAAAAGGAAAATTGCCAATAAGGATGTTAATGGCTTGCTTAAAGCCAGCTTAGCTATGGCTTTGCAGCTAAGCTATTTAAAACCGGACTAGCTGGCTTAAAATATTAAAATTATATAATTAAAATATCATAAAGCCATAGCTTTGAACCATAGCTTGAACTATAGTTTAAGCTACAGCTAAAAACTATAGCTTATAAAATTTAATTTGAAATGTTCTTAAGGGTAGAGTATTTGTTTACTATTTGTTTGCGTATAGCATAAAAATAAACCAATCAAAATTTAATGATCTGCAAAATTAACTAATTATAATTATATATTTGGTTGTACATGCATATTTATTTGCGCATTGCATGAAAAAAACATGTAAACAAATACTTACCCTTAAACATCTCAATTAATTAATTAAATAATAAATATAATGATATTCAAGCATCATCATCAATAATAATATTTATTGTACGAAACTTATATAACAACTAGTGATACTGTAGAAATATTCCAATACCGTAACTATAGTAGTTACGTATAAGCTTTAGCTAGTTATGGTTTAAACCATAGCATCATTGAGATATTCTATGGCATCACTAGTAACAACCCATGCTTTTTTTACTTACTTATAGCACATGTTTAAAAAAAACCAAATCGGAACACTTTCATAATTTATTAAATATGAAAGTATTCCGATTTAGTTATTTTTATTAAATTGATTTGTTTTCACATTTTTAAAATTGTCGTCACAGTGTTAGTCTTTATTTTTTAAAATTGTCGTCACAATATTAGGTCTTTTTAAAATTATCATCATAGTATTAGACCTTTATTTTTTTAAATTGTTATTGAACGGTGTCAACATTAGCTTTCTTTAAAATTGTCTTAGACTAATCATAATATAATTGAACTGATCATAATATAATTAGTCTGTCTTTAAAATCTTATTGAATGAAGTCAGATGTTATTAGATCTTCATTTTTTATATACTTATTAAGCAGAATTGCATATTTTTAATTTTTGCTTTTTTTAAAATTCTTATCGCTTTCTCTAAAATTCTTACTAGACAGAGATACACATTTTTAGATTTTATTTTAAAATTCTTGTTGGACGAAGTTGCACGTTATTAAGCTTCGCTTTCTTTAAATTCTTGTTTGATTAAATCATATATTACAATATTATTAAATCTTCTCTTTCTTTATAACTTTTAATATTTAGTATTGCTTTTTCATATCAGTTAGAAATTTGTTGAAAATTTATTGTTTATTATGCTTGAGCGACCTTTATCAATAACTAGATATTACCCATCAACTTGCTTCTGTTTTAAATTTATACATGTAATTTTTGCAGTCTATATTTATAACTAACTATGTAATACAAGATGAAAACTAAATGCTGTATATGAGAGGCTACATAGTAGTTTAACAATATTAATTTGTAACTTTTTACACATTATTTTTGGTAAACTCTAACTGCTAAAGAACACCCACATTATTTACTATAATACTCAACACTATTCTATGAGTCATCAATTTTTTGAATAGTATCCACCCAGGCACTAATTACAGAAGAATGGTACTATGATAGAGCAGTGTATTAGACCATACAAAGTTAATTTTTCATTTTGCATAACCCATTTGTTTGATTTTTTAAAAATATTTTTTTTTTTATAATTTATCTAATAGGTAATTGTCTGATAGGACCGACAGAAAAAAAATCTGCTCGCTGACCCAAATTTTCAGATTCCATGTTATGAAACCAAAAATTCAACCTTACGTGGTCCTATATTGCTCAATAAGTTTTCTAAATTATCATAATGAACTCGAATTGTATCTGAATCTTTTTATAGAGATAAGGTAAAGGGTATATACTGTATTTCACTATATAAACCATCTGGAGTCTCTTTAAACCCATCAAAGAACTGATTTAGACCCTAGGGTCTTGTGTGAAAAGGAGTCTATTGCTAAGAAGAATCTTGTATATGAAATATATAAACCCGTATACTGTTGGCATAATATGAATCATGGGTCTACTATTATTAGGATGATTTTATGCGTTGTTGATCCTTGGGATTATCTAAACACTATATTAGTAGGATTTGTAACCTAAATTTATGCATATTACACAATCATGCATGGTGTTTTATAAGTGTTGGTATATAAATATGTATAATGGTTAGCTTTCTTCTATATTTTTTTCGAAATTTTGCATGGATATTTTTTATTCTAAATAATATTTATTATAAGATAACAATCAAAAATTTTATACCAATTCATCTATACTAAGTTTATATTTACTATATAATGATTATATGACTAACGCTAAGAAAAATCTATATAATATCTAAGATACTAAAAAAAAAAATTTTCTAAAATACTTTCTCAATTATTAACCTTAATAAATTTGTTATTTATTTTAGTTTAGATGCCAACACCTTGTTCTATCCAACTTTTTAGGCATAGTAATGCACAGGCAGTTTGAGAATCAAGACAGTTATGAACTTTCGTAAGTGATTCTGCCACAGTAGAGAAGGCTTCCTCACAAGAAACACTTGTTTCTTGGATCGCAAAAAAGTTACACGCCATTTTTGCAAGTGTTGGGAACTTGTGTTCATTTTTAGTCTACCATAGTAAAGAATTATTTTTAATAGTCGTTAGTATGGACAGATAGTGCTCTAGTTCCTCCACCAAAGGTTGCTCGATTGTTTGATGTTATGTTAATAGTGATTCAAAAAATTTTCTTTTATTTTTAGATAGTAGTTTAAAGATGGAGGTGGAAGTGGACGTAGTCGTTGTTGCTAGAACTTGTGATTTATGTTGAATCATTATGTTTTGTAGACTAGCAAGAGCAGCATCTTTATCACTAGTGGAAAAAGTTATAAGCTTGGATGAGGGGTCAAGAATTGTGGCAATTATAGTTGATTCTTTAAGCATAGACCAGTATTTATTAGCTTAAATTTAATAGAATCTGCCACTATATACTGCTCTGTTGAGTGTGATTTGTTATCTAAAAACTTATTAAGGTAAAGAAGAAGTCTTAAAAAGTTAAACAGATATCAGAGATAGTTGGATACGAGCTCGATGATAGTAATTCTGTTACGACGAGCATAGATTCTAACAATTCAACCATATTATCTACAACTTCCTATTTCTTATCATTAAGATAATCGTTTCCTAGTTGTTTTTTATGTGCAGTTACAAGTAAACTTAACTCATCATGCATTTTGTTGAATCTATGAAGCATGTTGTAGGTACTATTTCAGCGAGTGCTTACATCAGCAATTGGTTTAACATAACGTTTTTTATTTATCTCACAAAATTAATGAAGTACATTGCATAAAACAGTTGAGTGTCTAATTTTATTTACAAAATTTCGCACTTTACCAATTACTGAAGTTTTAAGCTGCATTCCATAGTTTACAGCTAGATTAAGGGTATGGGCTGAGCAGCGATGGTGGCGAAACTTTTGTAAATCCTATTTCTCTCTATTTATCAGTTAGTCTTTATATGCAAGCCGGATCGAGCTAACAAAATCCCTACTCATAAATTAATATTTATTATTCCCAGTTTTACTAACTGTAAATTCTGGGTCTTCACTCATATTTTGAAAATAATTTAATTCAAGCTCAGTATGGAAATAGCCTTCGAATAACAATTAGTAAAACAGGAGAATAACACTTTTATTTTCTGCTTCGTGAAATAAATAGTATTTAAATTTAGCTATTGCTTAACAATAAATATGTAATAAATTAGTTTAGTGAATTAATCAATTAATAATAATAAAATAAAAACAATAATATTATCCTTAGATATGTTGTCTGTTTACCTAATATTGTATAATTATTGATTAACAAAGCGAACAGATAAAATTTCTTCTAATTGGAAACGTGAAATACTACTTACAAATACACTGTCATATAAATTAATTAAACCTTGTCATTGTTTCTTTATAGTACAGTGTAATATATCACCCTTATTCATCAAAAGTTATAAAAAAATCGATTTAGTTGTTAAATAAAAAAAAATGAAAATGAAAAATTAAAAGCAATAAATTTATAACATAACTTGATTTAGTTTTAACATGTCTGATTATTACACCACCTCTGAAGAAAAATTTGACTCTAATGATGATATTATGTCCGGAGAAGAGGATGTTAATTCACCTAATAGTGTAGTAAATAGAGAAAATGCTACCACCACTGCATTTTCACCACAAGAAGCCTCACCAGATGGTTTGAGTATAAACCGTAGTAAGAATAAAACATCGCCCATATGGAATTTTATGAGCAAGCAAAAAGAAGGAGATAAGGTTGTTGCGAGGATATGCAGAAAATGCAGGCAAAAATTTAGCCCTACAATAATGACTGGAATTTTAGATAACTATCTCAGTAATAAACATGGTATAGAACTTACCTTGAATAAAAGCTGTATAATCCAAAGACCCTATAGTAAAGGAGATGTTTGACGCAGGAAAGAGTGTTTTGATACTATTTTGAATCTTGTAGTTTGTTGTAAGCTTCTATTCACGATCGTTGAAAATCCCTGGTTTCAACAAATAGTAAACATATTTGATCCAAGGTATAAACTCCCATCATGTCAGTATATCAAGAAAGAGATAATGCATCAGTTTAAAACTCAGTATGAGTTTGTTGCTAAAGAACTCGGAAGTCTCACCACTAAAGTCACGCTTACCGCGGACATATAGACGTCGATCTCAAACCAGGTCTACCTTGGTGTTGCCATTCATTTTATTAATGACAAGTAGCAGATGCGTCGACTATTATTGAACCTTATTCATTTTGAGCATAATCACACTGCGATATTTATAAAAGAAAAGCTTTATGACCTTTGTGATTCTATGAATATTAGTAATAAGGTATATCAATCGATTAGTTGGTTAATTATTTTTTCAGTTGGTTGCAACTAATTCATTAAGTAAATAAATAATTTTTCAGTTAATTAGTTGTCAACTAACCAATTAATTAATTTTTCTAACTTCGATTTGTAATACTAATAAGGTAATCGCACTCACTACCGATAACAACTCTGCAATGGTACTATGTGAAAACTTAATTGAGCAGGAATAGGATTTACAAAAGTTTTGCCACCATTGCTGCTCAGCCCATGCGCTTAATCTAGCTGTAAACTATAGAATGCAGCTTAAAACTTCAGTAATTGTTAAAGTGCAAAATTTTGTAAATAAAATTAGACACTCAACTGTTTTATGCGATACACTTCGTCAATTTTGTGAGATAAATAAAAAACGTTATGTTAAACCAATTGCTGATGTAAGCACTCACTGGAATAGTACCTACAACATGCTCCATAGATTCAACAAAATGCGTGATGAGTTAAGTTTACTTGTAACTGCACATAAAAAACAACTAGGAAACGATTATCTTAATGATGAGGAATGGGAAGTCGTAGATAATATGGTTGAATTGTTAAAACCTATGCTCGTAGCAACAGAATTACTATTATCAAGCTTGTATCCAACTATCTCTGATATCCGTTTAACTTTTTTAGGACTTCTTCACCTTGATAAATTTTTAGATAACAAATCACACTCAACAGAGCAGTATATGGTGGCAGATTCTATTAAATTTAAGCTAAATGAATACTGGTCTACGCTTGAAGAATCAACTATAATTGCCACAATTCTTGACCCCTCATCCAAGCTTATAACTTTTTCTGCTAGTGACAAAGATGCTGCTCTTGCTAGTCTACGAAACATAATGATTCAACATAAATCACAAGTTCTAGCAACAATGACTACGTCCACTTCCACCTCTATCTCTAAACTACCATCTAAAAATAAAAGAAAATTTTTTAAATCATTATTAACACAACATCAAACAATTGAGCAACCTTTAGTGGAGGAACTAGAGCACTATCTGTCCATACCAATGACTATTAAAATAATTCTTTATTATGGTGGGCTGAAAATAAACACAAGTTTCCAACACTTGCAAAAATAGCACGTAACTTTCTTGCGATCCAAGGAACAAGTGTTCCTTGTGAGGAGGCCTTCTCTACTGCGGCAGAATTACTCACGAAAATTCATAACCATCTTGATCCTCAAACTGCCCATGCGTCACTATGCCTAAAAAGTTGGATAAAACAAGGTGTTGGCATCTAAACTAAAATAAATAACAAATTTATTAAGGTTAATAATTGAGAAAGTATTTTAGAAAAT